TGTTTTGAATTTGTATTTAAATATACTCTTAAGTTATATTTATAGATTACATTTCTAATACCACCCAAAACAAAAGGTCTGTATTTAATACAGTAATAATTATTCTAGCCCCCTTTTTCTTAGTGATTTTTTAACCGTTGCGTATTATACGGTAATGTGGATGTATTAGGTAATCATATTATGTAATATATATAAATAGATAACTTACATATATAAATTACATAATAATAATACCTCATACTTTTTTATTAATCTATAATATCTATACCTGACCTCTATATTTTAACCTGTATCCAGCCAAACGGTTAAAATACAGGTTAAGAATATCCACTCTAGTAGAACAGCTACTTTGGAAACAGTAAATAAGTCTAATTTTATCTATTTACTTTACACTACATCAACTTCTCAAAGAATATAAGCTAGTAATAACAAACTTAATTATACTGGTTAAGAAGAATAAGAAATTACACACTAGCCATATAAAGTAGTTATAAAAAAGAAAGTATTCAAGGAAGCAAGTAGTCTATATAGAAAATACTATTATTAAAAAGACTCAGGATACAATCCAGCAAGAACAGAAGATGTAAAATAATAAAGAGACTAAGATTAAATCTTAATCTTTATCTTAATCTCTACCTACAAAGACCCCCTCGCGCGCGCCTCCACGCTGTACTAATTGCTTCATTATTAGTCACCGACGTACGCAGTGTTCAAAACCACCTAGTTTTTACTTATATAGCATTTTTATAAGTATTTATGTTGAATTAATGGCTTCATTTTGAAGATATCGAGCAATTCGGGTAGGGGGGTGGGCCGCCCAACCGTGTGGGCCGCCCAACCGTTGAATACATTATGGATTTATTTGCAAGGGTTTGTAAGTGACATCATAAATGGGGGCTTCTTTGTTTGCCGAGTCAGTCATCTAGGGCACTGTGTGGTCATGTGTACATGTATGCTTTAAGTTTCACCTATCTGTTCCTATTTCTGGGTAGTGTACAAAGTTCTGGAGAAAATATCGCCACTGCATACTGTGTGGACTGGTATTTTGAAAAGAAGTAAGTTGAGACCGAGAAGGATTCTACACACCGTCTCGAGTTGAATCCTTCGGAATTTTCTCGGGATCGGGCATTTCCAAAGCACAGGTAGGCTTGACTACTAGATCTTTTGGCTTCCTTCACTACTAGCACCCAGCACTGACCATTTGTGGGGTATATTGGGTTCTCATTCTACATCCATCATGCCATGTAACTAGTGCAAACCGAATAAATAATCTACTTCCCAGCCATAATCCGATACCTCTCCGTGGTGGCCCTCCTCATTCGCTTGCCCCAAATAACCATAGGAATAATGGTCAGGGTAATGGCCAAGCTAATGAACCCACATGCAATAAACATGTTCTGCGCGCCTGATCGGTCAAGCCAAGGACTTATTGCGAACGGGATGCCGATGCTGATGGCATTGCGCATGAATGCCACTCCTGTGAACGCGTCTCCAGTAATCTGTTTAAGAAAACTCGTGAAAAGGTGTAATCGGGTTGTATAGAGAGGTAGTACCCACGTCACGGTAGGAGTCAATAACCAACGTCAGTGATGCATCGCTGATACTGCCTAGTCCGAAGCCAAACAGAGCACCGCCAATACTGGGATAGATCCAGTGCATTCCCTGAATGGGGCCCGTTAGCTTGTCATTGAACGATTATAAGCGACGGTAAGAGGCTTACCCGTGCAATCGTGGCTCCAAACATTATCAACCCCCCAGCCATTGCAAGAGCAGGCAAATGAAGAATATACAAGCGCATCTCTGGCTCATAGTATCCCTTGTTGCGCTTTGAAAAGAACAAGATAGACCAATCACCGAGAAAGCCACCATAGACAGACCCGATGAGGTTCCCGATAAACGGACCAACACTCATGAACCCAATTTGCTCAGAGGTGAAAAGATATGGTGGCAAAAGGAATACCAAGCTGAGGGTGGAGGATAGGATAGTTAGCCAGACCACGCCAAAGGAATACTGCAAGGCACAGAAGAGGACAGCAGGAAAGGAAGCCACGACGTAGAAGGGATGATAGAAGTAGGGCCAAATGGGTTCGGGGGTGTAGGTTATCAAGGCAAATCGCTGTCTCCATGTCCTCATTGGGATCCTATAGTCTAGCTCGTGGTGATCTGCTGGTATTGGACTCGTTTCGGCTCGGCTGGTAGAACACTCAATATCTCGTTTGCGATCGGCTTTGATGTTGTCGATTGTGTGTTCGCAAGATTCGTCGACGCCGGGGATGACTGGTGTATACTTGGTTTCCTCGTAGAAAAGCACGAATAAGACAAATAGAACGGCGTTAGTGATACCAAGTGCTTGGTATGATGCTCGCCAGCCTTGGTTTGTGGCTTGAGTTCCGGCCGCCATGGGAGTAAGAAAGCTCTGTCAAGGAATGAGTAAGCGTGTCATGAGCAGGCAGATAATAGTTATTTCTCCAGAGATTTGACGTACACCTATCATGACCATAGTCATATACAAACCATTCATCCCCCCACGATGGTGCACGAAAAAGAGGTCGGAAATCTGTAGCAGTCAGTAAAGGATGATTCAGCAGAAGGGGTTTCACTACCGTAATCTGCACGATTGATTCATTTGTCGCTCCAGCAAGCCCCTGAAGCAAGTTAGTGGCATACAATTCCGCAACAGTATGCAACTTCGACGTCCAGAAAGAAGTTGCCAACATGAGGGCCGTTGAAACGAGATACACGGGTCTTCGTCCGAACTTCTTCGCTAGGGGGATGAAGAACACGCATCCCACGGCAAGGCCAACGAAGTTCACAGACATGGCGCGGTTCAGCTGGGCATATGTCACATCGAGATCTACCACCATCAATTGCCAGAAAATTGCCTGGATCGAAAGCCTATCGACCACCATTAGCACAGCGCCATCTGTGACCGGTAGAGGTAACTAACGCTGTAAATATGAGTGCCGTCACAGCGAGAACGAGGGTAAAGTTGCATATTTTCCGCGCTGTACTCCAATTCTGCAATCGTCAGTGGTTTCGGATGCCACCAAGCGCGCCATACCGACCAACGGTTCATTGGGATCGCTGGATGGGACAGGATTCAGCATAACCTGACGGTTGCCTTGACCTCTTTCATCTTCATCTGCATAATGGTGAGGTTAATTTGCGATGACTTCAGCTAGCCTTTTCATACCCTGGATCAGACGGAATGTCCCTGGTGGCAGATTGTCGTGTGGGTCAGGAAATAGTGGGTCGCAGGGCTGATTCTGTGCCATTAAGTCTTGCTACCAAGCGGACACGGTGAATTAGGAGAAAGATATTGACCATTCAAGGCATAAATTGGGTCATTCGCTGTGATATCAAACAATCAAGATGTAAGGTCGTTCGTGGGAGGCATAACGCTATATACTGTCCTGTGTATCAAGTTCGGAGCACCGACACGTACACCATACAGATAGCTCATGTCTATCAAGTGGTAGGAAGTCAATTACTTGGTATCAAGCCAAATGCGGGGGTATGCACCTAGGCGAGATAAGAATTGGCGCCAAATGCAGCCGATCTGCCATCTGCTGAAGGATGAGACCAGTGCGGGATGGGGTCGACCTGCCTGAAAAGGAATGATGGATGCACATCCGCATATCGCACTCGGGGAACAAGACAGGCTGATGAATGTGATCCCCACGACATCAATTCGTCCAACTGGCCGAGCAGTTAGCGAACAGCCTCTTGTGATGATATCAATATGCATCAGATCAAACTTGGATCCAAGACCAAAAGAAGCAGGTTGACCCTGCAACCTAGTCACTGCCGTCTCTCCTCGGCACCAGGACATTTATCATCCCTACATTAAACCTGAAGTATGCTTCATTGGCAACCTCCAAGCGACGATAAGAATAATTTGGCACCTGCGACTGATATGAAGGACACCGAAATCAATTGCAATGGCCGCCAATCAAACTTTGCGACTCTTCCGTGTCCACGACGGTACGTCCAACCCAATCACCTCCCCGGTGCCTTTACTGAAACTCAACGTCATAAAGAACCAAATACAATAAGTGCAGTCGCAAATACGATTACTACTTCCTTCGCTCAAGATCCTCTAATCACATGGTTACGCCCTCGCGCTCCGCCCTGGACGAAATATAACGCCGAAATATGCAACTGGCAATATCGTCGGGTCCAACGAGCTGTTGCAGAGGGAATAGTCCTGCAATCGGGACCGAGTTACCAGATAGCCCGTTGCTTTCCTTCTAGGCCTTCTGGTTCGTGCCATGTTGGACCCGATGCGAAAGGTTCGGTGGCCGAAGAGAGCTGGAGCGAGGATGGTGATGAAGATAAGGATGCAGGAGCTGTGGCCCTCTTATTTCCTCCTCGAAGACATCAAAAATGGACTTTAGCAAAACTGGTACTTCAATTCAAGCTGCTTTTCCTCGATATCTTTTGCGCCCGTCGTGAAAGTGGTACCAATGTACAGGTATGCCCCGAAAGCCGATCTGACAGACGAAATATAACTAACGAGTTTATCAGAGACTAGAGATCATGATGAAGAGCCATGACGACACAATTGCTCGAGTTAAGAAGCTGCAGCGGCTGTCCGATCTGTGGTATTTGGAGGTTGTAGCTGTTCATCCCTCTCTCCAGGGTCGCAGCCTCGGCAAGAAAGCGATGACATGGGTGTTGGACCATATCAAGCTCGAACCACTTTTACTGGAGTGTACAAGTGAGAGTAACCTCCCGTTCTACCAGAAACTGGGGTTTGAAGTTGTTGAAGAAGTCGAATTGATGGAGGGTGGTGAAGCAGTCAAGTTGTGGTTCATGCTACGGCAAGTTTCTAAAAGCGAACACAGTAAATTAGCCAAATGAATATGACAAGTCCAAATCAGAATAGGCCAAGTTCTATTCCTCGTGACTGCGCAATCTCATGTATGTTGATAGTGTTTTCAGGATACGTCCAGTGCTCTTCCAATAAGTCCAGAAGTAGTCTATATTGCTTATTCCAGAAAGGTCCCTCTGCGATTGCCATCAGGATCCTCCGGATAAATTCTCTTAAGTCTGGGTCCTTATTCAGTGCATCGGTTTGAAGGCCGGCGACGAAGACGGGATAAGGAATGGCGTTGATGATCAAGGTGTCCTTTCCCTCGGCTTCTGAGGACGCTCGATATATAGCATCCACGCAGCTGAGAAGTCGCATGATGATCACCGTCGTTGTTGGAAGTGCTGATTGTCTTTGGCTTTGTCCTCGCTGTGCTGGGTTATCGTCCAGTTCAGATGGCAGCCGCAGTGCGCCATGTCGGATCACTAGCATCCCAGCCAACCGATATGCTTCCCACAGCTGGCACTGCAAAAAACACCCTCTAGAACCAGGCCAGTCCCAGAAGTCTTGTTCTGTTGCCCCCTTATGAACACAAGAGAATATGTCGACCAAGGATCGCGGTAAACCACTCATGACCTCCACATCATACTGTTCAGATGTGTCCGGCGTCGATTGGTTGCGACAGTACTGCCGCCAGAACCCTAGATATGGGTGTTTTCTACCGATCGCAAATGTGGGAAGATCCATGATCCCCATTACCTCTAACAAATGGGCCCGAAAGGGAGAGACCTGATCATGCGACCGTGTCACACTCTGTGACTGTAGGATGTTATACATCCCTCGAAGATGCATAGTCCACGGTATCCCTTGCATAATCTATTTCCACCTATCAGTTAAGAATGTTTAATAACTTAGGAGATGGGGATGGAGAAAGATGAGACATACTCCAATAGTACACAAGAGCAACCCAGCAGTTAGGGTACCATCCTCTAAATAAGCTTCGCTCTGAGCTAACTCGCTACGGAACTTGTTCAGGGCCGCGTCAAAGTACTCGAAGAATTGGGACTTCAAATCCGGACTTATAGAAACCTGTAGTGTGACGCATATTTGATACAGCGCTTCCGATTGTTGACACAGTCCTGGTAGTCGTACTTTGAGTGGTATTTCACCGTCGTGCATAGTCGTAGAGTGAAGGACATTGATGCCAGATGAGAGGACTATCGATATTAGATAATTTCACAGCAAGTAGTAATCCTCTATCACGCTCACAGTCACTGAACAATTCTGCATAATGATTCGGCTTCCAAGTCTCGGATAGTAATGGGCTGAGTAGCAACTCTAGTTCAGTGGAGTCAACAATCATCACGACAAGACGAGAAGCTACTACATCCTACCTTCAGTTCCCTCTACTAAGATCTCAGATCCGGAAGATACGCGCACTTGATCAGCTACATGCAACTGCCGCTTCCTCTCCCGAAGCAGATCTCTCTGTCGTCCTTGAAGCCTCGGCGGAATTGACGACTCGGCAGGCGCATCGGCGCCGGTAAATCTCCCTCGCGAGGCAATTCCGGTTCCCCAGCGGAGACGAACATCATAACCCTCACATGCCACTCCGCGTTCAGCACAAACCTGACATGTCGGGCGCGCTCGATCACACTTTCGCCGGCGGGCTTTGCAGGTCCAGCTGGACGGTAGAGTCAGTTTCACGGAAAGTGGAAAAGACTAAAAGATCGGGAGTGACCCTACCATCCCTGGTGGGTTCGGCGACCGGGGGTCGACATTCCTATTTTGAGTGGTGATCGGATAGAGATGAGGAACCTCGCAGGCGAGCAGCGGATGGGAATTAGCTTTCAGCACAGATGCGGGGAAGATAACAGGACAGGAATCCACACTCGTTTCTGATTAGGTTTGAGGGTCGACCTGCCAATTTGAGTGTAGCTTGGAGATAGCTAACCTTTGGAGCTACCGTCTGGGGTCAGATAAGAAAAGCCGAGGTTCAAATATGCTATAGAACACATCTCAGGTCCCTATGACAGAATGCATATACCACACTCAATTGACTGATCTTATTCGGCATTATTTCTCTTCTTCTGATCAAGGGTCAACATGTCTTTCCAAACTCCAACCACAAAATGCACGACCGAAATTCCTCCCCTTGGCCAACTTGAGGGTTTTCAATTTGCGAATGGTGTCCAACAATACTGTGGAATACCATATGCTGACCTGCCTAAACGGTGGACAAGATCGACTCTCAAGACTTCCTGGACAGGCTCTAAACATGATGGAACAAAATTGGGGTAAAGCTCTCTATATCTCATGTTCGCCGCATATTAACTAAAGCGCATACAGCAACGACTGTCCTCGGCCCTACTCCGAAGGCGACGACAGCGATGACCTCGTTCCAGTGCCACCACCTGCTCACTTTCCGTTTACTCCGAAAACAGACGAACCAACTGGGCTTGTGATGAACATCGTTATTCCCGTCGCCCCAGCCTCCGACAGGCGAAGTCTTCCGGTCATGGTATACGTCCACGGAGGCTCCTTACTTTACGGAGGTGCAAACCTTCCCATATTCGACGCTGTAAACCTCGTTTCACAGAGTATTGAGATGGGGAAGCCAATAATATGTGTAAATTTCAATTATCGCGTCGGACTCGGAGGCTTTCTCGCAAGCGAAGCCATACGCCGTGAGTTGCAAGATGATGGGTTTCAGGGCTGTGGGAACTTCGGCTTCACTGATCAGAAAGTCGCATTCGACTGGGTTCAACGATATATCGCGGCCCTTGGCGGAGATCCCGATAATGTCACTGCAGTGGGAGAGTCTGCTGGTGGGATATCGATCAGTAACCAGCTTGCAGCTACTCATCCACCGAGATTCCGGCGCGCCGTCTGTATGTCTGGGCTTTCTGTCTCCATTCCTCCTTGGACTATGGAGCAACACGAGGCTCTCTTCCAGACAGTTTGTCGGTATTTCAAGATAGATGCTTCACAGCCCGATGTACTGGATTGGCTCCGGCAGATACCGCAGCAGAAAATTGCGAATGCGACCCCGACCATCCAAGGCGTCCTGTCGGGAACAGGGAACCCTTGTCTCGATGGATGGTTTTATCAGACCGATCCTTGCGATATACAGAAGGCACCAACATGGCTGGAAGCCTTGATAATTGGAGATACATACCACGAGGGGGTCATTTTCCATCTAAATCTTCTCGCTGACGATTTTGCTTCCATTCGCCGAACATTGTTAGATCATATCAACAATGAAGATGATACAGACCAAATCCTGAGGGAATATGACATACACCAGGCGCTTCCACATGATATCCTTCTCGAGCGCGTGGAACACATGTGTGGAGACGCGGTTTTCAAGATCCCAAACTACGCCACTGCGCTAGAAAACACTACGCTTCGCGATAAGGGTGGTCTATTCCTGTACCATTTTGACCAGCGTTCTCGCCTTAAGAATCCGCTGGAGGGGACGGCCTACCATGCCCATGAGCTATTGTATCTTTTCAAAAACCTCGAGACAGAGATGGATGAGAGCGAAAGAGGAATGGCGGAGGGGTTTGCTGCTGCTTGGATTAGATTCTGCAATGGAGAGGCGCCATGGTCAGCACGCAAGGGAGAGTGGAAAGTATGGGGACCAGGTAGTGTTCAGTCTGTCAAGAACGAGGAAGAAGATGAAGAGACCAGATCATATGAACGGATTAGGCGGATCCTGGCCATGGGTAATGGAGAGACTTGGAAACGATGGCTTGCTGGAGTGGATGTGCTGGTTAATAAGAGGATGAAAATGGGAAAGATAGCATAATATTTCTAACATACTACTTGACAACAATAGACAAGGATAGCTGTTGTTCTTGGAATTTTACATTATCAGAAGCTCTGAATCGATCGCCAACCCCATTTCTGATCCAATTCCACCTAATGTACTACAAGTATGACCGCTCTTGCACATGACGCATCAGTACAGCCTTATTGACCCTATCTTCCGTCACCAGCATTTGCTCTGAAAACCACGAAAGATCCGTAGACTCAGTCTCGAGCAGTTTATCATCATGGATTAGCAACGTCGTCGCCAATGCTTTGCCACACAACCATGCCAGCACCATTCCCTCCCCTGAAAAAGCAGCAGATACCCATTCAGCACCCTGTCCTTCATTATGGAGTCCACGCTGTGTTGTCGAAACAGGAAGCCGCCCTACCCAGGGAAGTCCATCTGCACTAAATCCCATACTTCCCGTCCACATCTGCTCCACGCTCTGTCGGGCAACATTGCCCCAATTGTTACGGCCAAACACCGCACTTAGCGCACCCGATAGATGAATATCAGCATACAGACTGATTTCCGAGTCTGTTGCGACGCCCATATCGGCAATTCCACCTCCCCCTCCCTGAGCAAAACCTCCACCGAACATCATCATCTGCCCGGCCTCTGATTGCGGTAACTGGGTGAGATAGTCGAATCCACGATCGTAGTTGAAAATCCAGGAGTGCTCCTCTCCCTGACACCGGAATTTCTGTCCCGGGTGTTGCGCCGACATCTGTCCACGTATGGGATAAATGCGACCTCTCAAACCAGGTACGAGGTGGCCAACATGAGCGTTTGTACAATGGACAACATGACGAGTGCGAATAACACCCCTAGATGTAGAGACAGAGTATCGCAAACGCGAATTACCTTTCTCATTCACGTCCTCCTTGATACCAGTCACGGGCGTATTCGTCTCAATCAGCAGATCTCGCGGGAACTCTTCCTTCAATTGGCCCAAAATACCCGTGACAAATCTATAAGGCCAAATGGCCCCTCCCGGGCCAGCAACGATCCCTAGCGCACGAGGAAGGCAGAATTCCTCTGGGATCTCCTCCCTTTCATATATCTTCCAGTCCATCGTCTCCTCCGGCAATCCCGCCTTAAGCCGGCGCACCCGCTCTCGGGCATCTTCCCACCCATCCTCATCGAAATAAACGCTTAGAAACTGCACCCTTCGCGCTTGACAATGTTCAGTAAGACCATAGTCCTCCGCGGTAACAAGCATCTCGCGTAAATGTGCCAAGCGAAATTTCATGATTTTCTTCGCTGCGTCAGTGCCGTGCATATCCTCAAGATCGGCGAATTCCTCCGCCGTCTCGAGAATATGTCCGCCATTTCGGCCGGTCGCGCCACTGCAAACGTCGCGTGCTTCGAG